ATAATAGTGGTATTACGGTCTTCCCTGTAGGCGCATGGATATTATCCTATCATAGACAGTATTGTACTTCATGACTGATCTGGATATGTTCTTTTTGACAATGAATGCAACACTATTCCTCTTCAATTTGTCATTCCCGGCATATTAAACCATGTGGTTGTCAGATTCAAAATGGCCAATTTCAGCTCACTAATGTCTAAGATATTGATATTTATGTGTTCCATTTAATTTTTGACAATTTCCAATTTTCCTGGATTCATACTGTGTACATTCTATGTTCCGATTCTTAATGAATGTTTACAGCTGTTTCTCTTCATTTTGAATTGTGCCCTATCAGCAAATGAAGGTCCCATGAGCTTTACTCCCACGGTCTTTACTCCATTTGCATCGTATGGTCAACTCTACTTAGTGGAGGCAGCTCTTCCCCAGTCTCATTTTGAGCACCTTCCAACCTGAGGGGCTCATTTTCCAGCACTATATCTGACAGTGTTTCTCTGCTATTCATAAGGTTTTCAGTGACTAAATATTCAGAAGTAGTTCATCACTCCTTCTTTCTAGTCTGTGTTCATCTGGAAGCTCATCTGAAACCTGTCTACCATGGGTGACAGGTTTTTAAAATACCTGTGGCATAGCCTTCAGAATCACAGCAACTCATAAGCTACCACATTACAACAAACTGACAGATGAATGGTATATTCTAATATTAGTCTGACTAATGTTCCATTGTATGGATAGTCCATTCATTAGTTGATAATATTTAAGTTGTTCCACTTTTGGGTTCTTATGAAAAAAGAACCCAAAATGTTCTATGAACATTGTGCTCACATTTTTATGTGGACTCTAGGGCAGATACCTAAAAAAGAGAAGAAAGAGTTTTCTAGGTCATATGGTAACTGAAAGGAGCGTTGATGGTGCAGTGGTTAAAGCAGTGTGACTGCTAACTGAAAGGTTGGGAGTTTGAACCCACCAGCCATTTAATGGGAGATATGGCAGTCTGCGAACCGACTCGACGGCACTTAACAACAACAACAAATGGCAGTCTGCTTCAATAAAGATTTGCAGCCTTGGAAACCCTATGGGGTAGTTCTCCTGTGCCTCTTAGGGTCATTATGGGTCATAATCAACTTTGATAGCACACAACAACAACAACACATGGTAACTCAATTTTAACATTTTGATCCCTTTGACCTGTTTTCCAAATAGGCTGCATCATCTTACTTTCTTACTAACATTGTATGAGGATTCTGATTTCTTCACATCCTCCCCAAATTCTCTTGTTTATTGCAGCTATTCTGATGGATGTTAAGTGCTATCTCATTGTGTCCATGATACAGGCCTATAGATTGTTCTTAAAGGTATAAGAACACTCTCAGAATGTGGAAAAAAAATAATGTAACTGTATTCTTGATGATCTGAATGATCAGCCACCTTATAATCAAGGATTGCCAACAGTTTTAGTGCCTGCAATTACTTTCTGTTTAAAGTACATTGGCTTCAAGAAATGAACGTGTATTAATAATGTTCTAATGGAAATAGTTGATGTGAGCTGCAGTTGAGTGGAGGACATAATTATATAAATGATATACTTCTGCCAAGACACAGCTTAATTACATTAAGGTATGCAGTCTTGGCTTTGTGCTGTAGGATAAGCACTGGACTGCTAACCGCCAAGTCTACAATTTAGACCCACCTGCTGATCCTCAGAAACCCTATAGAGGATAACTGTGAGTCAGAACCAACTCAACAGCACTTAACAAAAACACAGCATGCTTTAAGGAACAGAAGTTTTGAAGTCCTTGAATAGAAATAAACAGATAATTGAGTAATCAATGTACAAAGAGCTTCAAAGAATCAATGGAAAAAATCCATTATCTTTTAATTCAATTGTTCCAAGAACCTTTTGAAGTCCTTTTATATTATAGGAAGGATAAATGCCAAAAAACGTTCTCCATTGTGTCACATTTTTGTGTGCAGTCAACTGATCAAAACAAGGCACTTTTTTATTTGTTTAGTAGTCGAATAGGTATAGGTATTATCTACAAGGTTGAGTGTTCTTGTGCTTCTCCCCTCACTTCATATCAGCTGGACACTTCATGCTCAGCTCTAGCCCTCCATGGCTATGTCCTTGTCCATGGACTCAGGAGTCCCCAGGTCTCACCACACTTCAGACCAACCAGCCCTTCCTCTTCTATCACTCATCTCCAAGTCAATGGGAGTCAATGGACTGTGGTTGAACTAAACCCATTTATTCATTGCTGCCTTGCCTTTCCCCCTCTTCCACTCACCAGCAGACCAACATGGTTGCCAGCAAGCTTACATGCCTGCTCATGTGTTCCCTTGAGTTTCTGTCTTGGAGAGAGAATTTGTCCTGAAGGGACTTGATTGCTAGCCTTGATGACTCCCAGGTGAACAACTTGCTTGTTCTTCTAGTAGTCAGTCAGACTTGACCTTTTTTTTTTTGGTGTGTACTATGTGTATTCCTTCCATCTTCTTTTGATGCTTTCTGAATCATTCAATATTTCGCCTAAAGAATCCTTCAGTATTGCAAGTGTAGGCTTGCCTTTTTCTTCAGTTCCCTCAGCTTGAGAAATGCTGAGCGTGTTCTTCCCTTTTGGTTTTCTAACTTCAGATCTTTCCACATTTCATTGTAATATTTGGCTTTGTTTTCTCGAGCTGCCCTTGAAATTTTCTGTTCAGCTCTTTTGCCTTTTTATTTCTTCCATTTGCTTTAGCCATCTCTATGCTGGAGAGCAAGTTCAGAGTCTTGGCTGACATCCATTTTGCTGTTTTCTTTCTTCCTTGTCTTCTTAATGACCTTTTGCTTTCTTCCTGTATGATATTCTTGATGTCATCGCACAACTCTTCTGGTCTTAGGTATTTAGTGTCTAATGCATCAAATCTGTTATTGAGATGATATGTAAATTCAGGTGGGATATGTTCAAGGTCATAGTTTGGCTCTTATTGACTTGTTTTAATTTTCTGCAGCTTCAGCCTGAACTTGAATATGAACAATTTATGGTCTATGCCACAGTCTGCCCCTGGCCTTGTTTTTGCTCATGATATGAAGCTTTCTCTTTCCACAGATATAGTCTATTTGATTTCTGTGTGTACCATCTGGTGAAGTCCATGTGTATAATCATCTTTCATGTCATTTAAAAAAGGTATTAGCAATGAAGAAGTTATCAGTCTTGTGAAAACTTATCATGTGATCTCCAGCATTGTTTCTAACACCAAGGCCATATTTTCCAACTACTGATCCTTCCTCTTTGTTCCTAACCTTTGCTTTCCAATCACCAGTAATGATCAACACATCTTGATTGCATGTTTGTTCAATTTCAGACTGAAGAAATTGGTAGAATTAATCAATTTCACCATCACTGACTTTAGTGGTTGATGCATAAATTTGAATAATAGTGCTATTAATTAGTCTTCTTGTGAATGTGTAAATATTATCTGATCATATACAGCATTATACTTCAAGACATCTTGAAATGTTCCATTTGATGATGACAATGACACCATTCCTCTTCAAGTTGTCATTCATAGCATAGTAAACCATGTGATTGTCTGATTCAAAATCGCCAATACTAGTCCATTTCAGATAACTGATGTCTAGGATATCTGTCTTTATGCATTCTATTTCATTTTTGAGAACTTCCAGTTTTCCTAGATTCAGTCTTCATACATTCCATGTTCCAATTATTACAGCTGTATTTTTGCAGCTGTTTGTCTTCATTTTGAACTGTGCCCCACCACCGAATGAAGGTCTCAAAACCTTTACTCCATGTGTGTCATCATGGACAACTTTACTTCGAGGAGCCAGTTTTAAACCCAGTTGTATTTTTGTGTGCCTTCCAACCTGAGGGGCTCATCTTCCAGCACTATATCTGACAATATTCTGGTGCTCTTCATCATGGTTCAATATTCTATATTCGGTTGCTATCTGACATTATTTCTCTTCTATTCATGGATAAATTCCTTTCAGTGGTAAACATTTGGAAGTAGTCCACCTTTCCTTTTTCTGAGTCTGTCTTAATCTGGAAGCTCAGCTGAGGTCCACCGTGGGTGACACTGCATGCATTCAAAATCCAGGTGGCATAGCTTCCAGCATCACAGCAACACGCAAGCCACCACAATGTGACAGACAGACCGACAGACTCATGGCAGAAATCTGTAATTGCATAGCTTTAAGCCTGTATGTCTCTCTTGTATCTCTTCTCCTCTGGCTAGTTTCAGTCCCACCCTACTCTGATGTGAATTCATGTTAATTAGTAACATCTTCAAAAACCTTAATTCTAAACAAAGCCATATTCACAGGTACAGGAGTTGGCATTTAAATATATTTTTTGGGATACACAAATGAATGCATAATATTGGTGTTTATATATATATGTGTTTTGGTTGCATAGTTATAAATTTTCAATTTATATGTTTATATACTCTTAAGCAGCATTGCAAGGAGCTTGGTGGTACAGTGGACTAAGTATTAGGCTGTTAACTTCAAGGTGGCAAATACAAACCCACCCGTTACTGCCTGGGAGAACTATGAGACTCTGCTCCTGTAAAGATTTACAATCTTAGAAACACTAAGAAGCAGCTCTTCTTTGTCCCATAGTGTTGCTGTGAATTAGAATCAATTCAGTGACAGTATTTGTTTGTTTTTTGTTTTTTAAGCAACACTGTGATAAAAATAATATAAGTCAACATTTAGGGACTATGACGGTTTTTTCTTTCTTATTACAAAAGGGGTCTGTCTAGCTATTATTTAAAGTCTGCAGCTGTAGAATCTGTTTCCTTTGAGATTTGAAGTTTTTATTTTTCACTTGTTCACAACGATACATATAATCTTATTAGTTATTTACTTTAAATATCATCCTAGAATAAAGGAGGTATTGTTGTTAAGTGCCGTTGTGTTGATTCAAAGAAAGAATAAGGGTAAATGATTTCTTTTTAGGTGATTTCACATGTTTAATTTTTAATGATCACCCTTAATTTCACAGATTATCAGTATGCGTTTGCAAGGCTTTAGACTATGTTTGGGTCTGCTCCTCATCTCAGTTAATGCAGAATTTATGGATGAAGGTGTTGAAATGGAAGACTTTGATGAAAATTCAGAAGAGATTGATGTTGATGAAGATGAACTTCCCTCAGAGGTAAAGCTCTTGAGACACGAGCTATAGATGATTCCTTGGCATGATACTTAGGCGTGACTGATCTCTTAAGATTCATTTCAGTTCTAACAGTTTTTATTTTCTAAGTAGATAGAAAAATATTGCTTTCCCGTAACTGTCTTGGTGCTGGTTTCTTTTCTTTTTTTAAAAGAGTGTACATATGCTACAGAAATTGTTACTTTTGTGCATGGCACCTAGTGCAGTTTTATTACCAAATAAATATCAGAAGGTTTTACAGTCAAAATAGGAGTGTTTCACTGATTAAAATCACTTGCCATCAAATTGACTCTGATTCAGGGTGACCCCATGTGTTGCACAGTAGAAATGGGCTCCATAAAGTGTGCAACAGCTAATGTTTCCGAAGCAAATTGTCAGGCTTTTATTTGGAGGCACTTGTAGGTGAATTTGAACTTCAAAACTACCAATTAGTAGCCAAGTACGTTAATTGTTTGCATCAGCCAGGGACACCTCATCACTGCTTAAAGAGGACTACGTACTTTAGCTTAGAGACAGATTTCAGTCTTATTTATGACACTGCCAGCTGTTTTCAGACAAAAGAGAAGATAATTTGTAGTTCTCCTAGAAGGAAGGTAAGTAGTGTCTTTATTTTTCTAAGAAAAAAACAAAAAGCCAAAACAGGATTAGAGAGTTTTGAGGAAAACTGATCCAAGTTTCTGTCTCAGTGGTGTTAAAATATGTTTTAAGGTGGTGGCTAATCTGAGACTGGTGTGGCTTTGTAGGATAAGCATTGGACTCTGAACCACAAGGTCAGCAGGTCAAACTCACCAGCTGCTTCTCGGAAATGCTGTACAGGGTTGCTATGAGTTGGAATTGACTCAACAGCACTCAGTAGCAACAATATGATCCTGGGAAATTTTGCTGAGATTTTTGTACACCATGAGGTGCCATAAGAACTTTCATATTGAAGGATGTTGATGTCTAGTATTGCAATAACCAGAAATATTTTTGATGGCCAGAAAGCATTCATCGAATTGTACGAGTAGCAACGGGCTCAAGCATAGCAAAGATTGTGAGATCGGCGCAGGACTGGGCAGTGTTCATTCTGTCGTTCTACGAGTCATTACTGACTTTATGGCACCTAACAACAAGAAATCTGTGATTCAAGGTCCTGAGGTGGTGCAAATGTTTTGCACTTGACTATTAACCTCTGGTAGCATAGTGGTCACAAGTTGGGCTGCTAATCTCACGGTCAGCAGTTCGATACTATCAGTGCTTCCATGAGAGCAAGATGAGGCTTTCTGCTCCTGTAAAGATTTACAGCCTTGGAAACCCTGTACAGGGTTGCTTTGAGTCAGAACTGACTCCACAGCACATAACAACATTAATCTAAGGGTTGGCAGTTCGAACCCACCATTTGGTGCTGTAGATGAAATTGTGATTTTTCCTATGTGAAGATTACAGCCAAAAAAAAACTATAGAGCAGGTTACTCTGTAACAATTCATGGGGTTGCCATGGGTTGGAATCAACTTGACAGCAATAGGTTTGGGGTTTGGCTACTGTTTAGAGGGCCAAGAAGAATAACATAGTTCTTACGGGTATATTTGCTCTCTTCCTTTTAGAGTTTTATAGTTGCAAGTGCAAGTGTTATTCGACTTTCCAGGTGAATATTCTGTCTCTCCTCTTAATTTTTATTTTAAAAACTAATTGCATTATGACTCTTAGATACAGCTACTAGAAGAGTCTGTGGAAGTTATTAGTATTGTGGTACTGTAGGTATGCACTGGACTGCTAACTGCAAGATTGATGGTTCAAACCCAACAGACACTCCTTGGAAACTCTATACAGGGTCAATATGAGTCTGATGAACTCAGTGGCACTTAACAACAACAGTAGCAGTCCAAGCCACACTGATGGCATTGGCAGAAAATAAGACTTTGAGAATTGATGGATTACCAATTGACATGTTTCAACAAACTGATGCAGCGCTGGAAGTTCTTACTCACCTATGCCAAGAAATTTGGATGAGTGGAAGAGAACCATATTTGTGCCCATTCAAAGAAACATGATCAGTAGAATGTGAAAGTGATTAAACAATATCGTTATTATCAAATGCAAATAAAATTTTGCTAACAGTAGTTTAAAAATGTTTGCAGCCATACATTGACAGAGAACTGCCAGAAATTCAAGCTGGATTCTGAACGAGGGGTGAGGGATACCATTGCTGAGGTCTGATGGATATCAAGGAAAAGATATTTATCTGTGTTTTATTGACTATGCAAAGGCATTTGTGTGAGTCATAACAAATTATGGATAGCATTGCAAAGAATGGGAATTCCAGAACTCTTTCTTATGCTCATGAGGAACCTGTACAGAGACCAATAAGAGGTAGTCATTCGAATAGAACAAGAGCATACTGTATGATTTTAAATCAGGTAAGGTGTATGTCAGTTTTGTATCCTTTCAGCATACCTCTTCAGTCTGTATGATGAGCATACAGACAGAGAAGCTGGATATATGAAGAAAAACGTGGCACCATCTTCCTTGATGGGAAGTCAAGAGGATTTGAAGCTCAATCTTCAGTACAGATTATACCTCAATATAATTTAAATTCAAATATAGGATTTGGATTAGGCAAATATGCTGCAAAAGACCTGTTTGCGCTTGCCCCAGGCCATGATATTTTCAGTCACTTCATATGCTTGTCACATTTGGACAATGAATAAAAAAGACTTCAGAAGAATCTATGCATTTGAATTACTGTGTTGGCAAAGAATGTATATTTTGGACATATTATCAGGAGGGCCCAGTCCCTGGAGAAGGACATCATGCTTGGTAAAGTGGAGGGAGAGCGATAAGTATGAAGGGACCCCCAGTAAGATGGATTGACACAGTGGCAGCAACAATAGAATCAATTATAACAATTGTGAGGATGGGTCAGGCCTGGGCAGTATTCCATTGTGTTGTTCATGAGTTGTTCTGCCACTATGAGTCAGAACCAACTCAACAACACCTAACAACAACATAAGGAAAATATAAATCCTCACAACTGGACTAGTAAGCAGCATCACAATAAATAGGAAAATGCTGAAATTGTCACAATTTTCACTTTGCTTTGACCCACAATCAACAACCATGGAAGCAGTAGTCAAGAAATTAAACTATGTATCACAGTGAACCAATCTGCTACAAAAGACCTCTTGAAAGTGTCAAAAAGCAAAGATGTCATTTTGAGGATGAAGGTGCATCTAACCCAAGCCATAGCATTTTCACTTACGTCAATATGCATGTAAAAGCTGGATGATGAATAAGGAAGACCACAGAAGAATTGATACTTTTGAATTATGGTGCTGGCATCTGTATTATGAATTATTGAATATGCCATACTCTGCCAGGAAGTTGAACAAATCTGTAAATGAAAGAAGTAGTCCAAATGCTCCATGGAAGGGAGAATAATGAGACTTTGTCACATGTACTTTGACTATGTCAGGACGGTCCAGTCCCTGGAAAAGGGCATCAGGCTTGGTAAAGTGGAGGAAGATCCTCAACAAGATGGCTTGATAAAGTGGCTGCAATGATGCCCCAAAAATAGCAACAATTGCAAGATTGACACAGGACCAGACAGTGTTTCAATGGGTTGTGGGATAACTATGAATAAAACCATCTTAACAGCACCTAACAACAAAAACAGAACTTAAATTAGCAGACACTTACCACTCTTAACTACTTTTGTTGATAATTTGAGAAGATGATTAAAAAGTGGGAAAGAATGATTTTTGATGCTTCTAATTGTAGAACAAAAATAGTCTTGACATGGTAAATTATATATAAAGGGCAAAATACAGCTGCTAGAAATAAACGAGATAGAAAAACCGAAAAACTGTAGAAAGGATCAACAGGACAAAAAGCTGGTTCTTTGAAAGGATTAATAAAATTGACAAACCATTGGCAAAACTAACAAAAGAAAAGAGGGAGCGGTCACAGATACCTCACATTAGAAATCACATGGGCGATGTCACAACAGAACCAAACGAAATCAAAAGGATAATAATAGAATACTATGAAGAGTTGTACTCCAACAAATCCGAAAACCTAGAAGAGATGGATATATTTCTAAAAAAACATGACCTACCTAAACTTACTCAGAATGAAGTAGAAAGCTTGAACAACCCCAAAGAAGAAAGTGATCAGGTCATCAAAAAACTCCCAACCAAAAGGAGTCCAGGCCCAGAATTCACAGGTGAGTTCTACCAAGCATTCAGGGAAGAACTGTCACCTATTCTACTCAAATTATTCCAGAATATAGAAGAGGATGGAAAACTTTCTAATATTTTTTATGAAGCAAGCATAACCCTCATACCAAAACCAGGGAAGGACATCACTAAAAAAGAAAACTGTAGACCAGTATCCCTCATGAACACAGATGCAAACATTCTCAACAAAATCCTAGCCAACAGAATACAACAGCACATCAAAAAAAGAATACAACATGATCAAGTGGATTTCATAAAAGGGATGCAAAGATGGTTCAACATTAGAAAAACAATCAACATAATCACCATATAACTAAGAAAAAGGAAAAGAACCACATGATCATATTGACTGATGCAAAAAAGGCATTTGACAAAATCCAACATCCATTCCTGATTAAAAAAAACACTCAACAAAATAGGAATTGAAGGGAAATTTCTCAGCGTAATCAAGAGCATATATATAAAACCAACAGCCTACATCACTCTCAATGGAGAGAAACTGAAAGCCTTTCCTCTCTGAACAGGAACCAGACAAGGATGCCCTTTGTCACCACTCCTATTCAATATTGTGTGAAAGTTTTAGCCAGAGCTATACGGCATGATAGCGAAATTAAAGGCATCCAAATTGGCAGATTAAGTAAAACTCTCTCTGTTTGTAGATGATATGATCCTATACATAGAAAACCCCAAAGACTCAGTAAAAAAAAAAACCTACTAGACCTCATTGGAAGATTCAGTAAAGTCGCAGGGTATAAGGTCAACAAAAAAAT